TTACTCAGGAGGGTGACCTCTATAATATATGTCAAGCCCAAGGTTATTGGAGGTGGGTGTGCTAATCTAAATAATTACCCTTTACTTCCTGCCCGTTCAAGATGCGAAGAAGGACAGAGCGAATTACAGCGCGAACGCCGAAGTCGCATAAATTTCTCTCTTTTCCCGAAAATGGAACAGATTACACGAAATCGATACATAATTAAAAGCGCGGTGCGTAAACGAGATGTAACCGCGACAAAGTACCACGATTTACATTCAAGTTTTAGACGAGTTAGTCTCGTGAAATATGTATACGTTGATAAAGAGTCGTCGTCTCAACATGCAATTCGTTTCTCATTGCAAGTTGTAGAAACTTAATAATTAATCGAGGAACGTTACTTGTTACTAATAAAAGTGTGCAAATCAATAGCGTTTTATCCCTGCATTCATCGCGATCCAGTCTTGGAAACCGACAACGCAAAAGTAATACCACGCACGGAGCGACTCTCGCCACTATTTACCGGCTCGACGTTCGGCGAGCGAGTAATTCGGCGACCTTCAGGTAAACAATGGCCCACGTAACGTCGTACGATACCGCGCCGAGAGAAAAACAACAACGAACGTTGAGAGTTCGTTGTCCCGCCTACAAAATTGAAAATTCTGCACTTAATATTTTACATTACTTTGTTCCATGACTGTTACTACGTTTTGTGTATCATTCTGCGGACTTATTGGTACTGATTAAATTAACGATTAATTCTGTTCAATCGAGAAAATGTTTCGAAATAAACATCGTTGTTACTTAAATTCTAAGATTGGAGATTTTACCTCAATAGTTGGTGTATACAAATGTTTATTTCTAAATTGCAAATCTTCATTTACTATGAATCTAAAAGAAAAGTGAAGCACACCGCGCTTGTGTCGAGAAAACTAATCGGCATCGCGGAAAAGAGGCCTCAACTATTCGATATTAACGACATTCGCGCTGTTAATATCTCTTTCTTAGAAAGGGATTTGTATTATTATGTATATATATATACATATATATATGTAAATATGTATTAACTCAGTGTATACATACATTGTATATAGTATCTGATTAAAGTATCATTCAGATTGATTTTTAACATAATATTTATACAACAATGTATGAAGTCGAAATGTCAAAAACTATTTACAAATCTTTCAGGAAAAATATATTTAAAAGTCTGGGAGAATTTAGAATTCCTTAGAATATCCCAAATAAAGTATACTGTTTGGGTTACATTCAAAAATAATTTTAAATATTTAATAATATTTAATAAAAACATATGTTATGTATAAGTGTTTTACATATTGCAGGAAGAAGTGTTCGTTCAATCATCGAGGTTAAGCAACATTGAGTATGGTTAAAACTTGGATGGGTGACCGTGACTTTACGGTTTTTCATACATGGTCGCGAAAATGTTGTTAGCTATTATGATCTTTAAAATTCGGAATTTTTCATTAATTTTTTTTCTTTATATATTAATATGAATATACACAAAGTATTATTGCGTATACACATATCATATTGCTATGTTTATATTGCTATGTTGCTGTAATATTATAATACTTTCTAATATTTCTGCAAGCGGACATTTTACCGTTGCTGCATCCTGCAGCGATGTTGCAGCAATATTTTACAACATTTCTGCAATGTTGCTGCAATATTTATGTGCCGTATGGGACAAAACAATTTCATACACTCTTTTAATCGTCTATACTCTATGTAAATTGCAACTTTGATATAATAGCCTCTATGATAATCATCGATATCTTTTTAATTACAATTTGCATAAATATAAATTTTTTAAGAGTTCAAAATTCTAACAACATTAAATTTCGATTGCAATAAAACTTCTCCAACACGCCTCACGGAGTTTTCGGCTTACAATTAGGGACTAGAAGCCATACCCAGTGAACACTAAGGGCCACATTCACCAATCTTCGGTTAACCCAACCGGTCTAGTAACATGCAGGATTGCAACCGAATCTGATATATTTTCTCAGATTCTCATCAGATTTCTCATCAGATTCGGTTGCAATCCTGCATGTTACTAGACCGGTTGGGTTAACCGGAGATTGGTGAATGTGGCCCTCAGTGATAGACAATGACATAACAATAATGTTATAACTTCCCATTCAATAATAAAACTGTTTTATACAATATGTGTTAAATTATATTTATGTTGGTGAGTAGGAATGCTTCTACTTGGTGTTCACTGGGTAACAATGCGATTTACCGACTGTTAAGAGATTTCGTTCGATAATCTAACCCACTTTATCTTAGGAACATAGTTACTGCATTAGCCGCTACCACGGTATGGCGCTGAAACCAGTGAGAACTGCTGGTCTCGCCTCAACCCGGGTCTTTGACGATCTGTCTATTAATCTGTAATTATATGTTCTTACGACATTGAACAATTAAAAAGTAATGTCTTAAAAGATTTACAGTTTCTTGAACGTTATTTCTACTATTTATGAAATAGTAGTAGATATCAAGAGACACGTACATTTATTGACCAATCACAGTCTGAAGTGACGAGAATAATCGCTTGTGATTGGTCAATTTCTTACGACCTAAGGTTACTACACCTATTGTAGACCCGGGCTAAAAGCTGTACGCTCATTGGACATTGCACGGCGCGCGAGTCTCACGTGGCGCGTCGCGTCACGTGTGCCACTGATAATGTTATGTTACTTCGGGACAAAAGGCGATCAAATGGTCAAACAGAGATGGACCCTGAGATGAACGATACGTAAGTACAACAAATATATATTTTTCTAATGTAGAAAAATTGCATGACGGCTAATGACTGCCAATTGCGATTCATTGCGAAAAATATTACCTCAGCCAGGGTGTGAACCATTTTTCGCAATTTTTCTACATTGTTAAATCAATTACTGGCGTTAAATAAAAATAATTATTTATATTCTTTCCGATTCCAGAAACCTAGACCGTGCATTGTTAAATGTTGTAGAGGACGTGGAGATGCTGAATTTACAACAACAAGGTAAATTCAGCATCTCCACAGCAACTCCTGCCGTCATTGCCGCCGCCGCCGCCGCCGCCGACAACGGCGACGACGCCGCTGCCGCTTCCACAGCAGCAGCCACCGCTAACGCTGCCGCCGCCGCAGCAGCCGTCGCCGCCGACATCGTCGCGAGGAGTATTCTCAAAACGTAAGTATAATAATCAAAATGAGTATAATTTATTTATTTTGTTTTATATACAGGCTCACATAATACAGTTTATTTTATATTTTTCAGCTCGATGGCAGAAAGGCGGAAGGGGCAGAGGGGGCAGAGGGGAAGGCCGAGGACGAGGACGCGGACGCGGACACGGACGCGGCCAAGGCCATCCAGGCTACTGGACCGGAAACATAAATTTTTACTGTCAATAAATAATAATAACTTGTATTGGGTATAAATAAAAAAAGTGTGCAAATTAGAAATTTGCACCTTGCTTCCTCATCTTTGAAGCGTGCAAATTGGTAATTTGCAAAATTTCTTCCTCATCATTAAAGTAGGCAAATTAGATATTTGCACATTGCTTCAATTGTTATGGCATCCTCAAAGATGAAGCATTATGAGAGAAATCTAACTTTACTACGAAGTTTCTTGAAAGTATTCAAATTATTCGTATTTTGCTCTTAAAGCTTCCTCTATCAGGAAGCTATGTGCCAATTTCTAATTTGCACACTTTACTTTAATTTAATTTTTTCTAATTACAAATTTCCACATTGCTTCCATTGTTATGGCTTCCTCATAGAGGAAGCTCTAAGAGCAAAATACGAATAATTTGAATACTTTCAAGAAACTTCGTAGTAAAGTTAGATTTCTCTCATAATGCTTCATCTTTGAGGATGCCATAACAATTGAAGCAATGTGCAAATATCTAATTTGCCTACTTTAATGATGAGGAAGAAATTTTGCAAATTTCCAATTTGCACGCTTCAAAGATGAGGAAGCAAGGTGCAAATTTCTAATTTGCACACTTTCAAGAAACATCGTGCAAAATTAGATTTCGCTCCTAAACGTTCCTCTATGAGGAAGCAATGTGCAAATTTCTAATTTGCACACTTTCAAGAATAATTGAAGAAAATAAAATTTCCCTCCTAAACCTTCCTCTATGAAGAAGCCATGTGCAAATTTCTAATTTGCACAATTTACTTCACTTAATTTTAAATTAATTTACATTTTTTCTAATTATATATTTTATTCTTCTTTAGTTTTTCAATCCAAATTTCATATATATTTCATTAAAATATGATTAATTACTTCTTCAGTCATACACTTTTGAAATTTTTGGAAATTATAATTAAACAAAATTTGCGATAGTTACAGCTATGTTCATGTACGGATTCCATGAAATTTCAAACATCTATAACTCAAAAACTAATCAACCGAATATTAATCAATT